CCATTTTCAGTTATAATTGCATGTGAATATTATTGAGATGTAGGAAAAAATTTTAGTTTAAAGATAATAATTGCGAAACAGTCGAGTGCCTGCACGACTCATGAAATTTCACAAAATTTTGCCACTGCATACTTTCGCGTAAAATTGATATGTACATATGTATTTGCGGTGAGACTTACCGACTGTAGTATAGCGTACAAATGTTTCCTTGTTCTCCAACATGGCGTCCACCGCAAGTTTTTCACAGTACTGTGCTGTTATAATAGCAATTGTGGGTTGCTTATTCGAAGCGATTGTGGGCATTTGTTTCACGACCTTCCGGGGGATAAATAAACAAATATTTGAATGTGAATGCTTGCATATGCACGAAGTAAAAAGTTTTTTTATTTTGAGATAAATATATTGATAGTAATTAATATACATACATATAACAGTAATTTAAAGTGAAGAATGTTCAATAACAGCATCGATATGTGGACATATCGATAACTTCCTCGATGTACATATATTATCGATAAAGTTATGGAAAAAATATCGATAAAGTAAGCGATCAATATAGATACGAGTTATCGAAAATATCGATAAAGTTAACTAAACTATCAATAAACTTATCGAAAAATGTCGATAATAGCTTCAACCCCAGGGTTGGGCACGCTGGACTAAATTTTTAATGCACTGAGCATTTCATTACCACTATTCGTGTAGTGAATGGCTTAGGTGTTTATAGCACCAATCAATGAAAATAATTTTATTGAATGGGTCGAGCGACTTGCAGGGTTCGAAGAAAGCAAAGTCATTTGCTCTCTCACATTGAGACCGTAGTGCGTGATAAGGCATCGCATCTGTTGCGGGGTGGGCTTGTTTTCTCCGAATACTAAGGCTCTAGACGAGAGAGCTGCCGACTTTAATATCTTCCCTAGTCAAGGGTATCTTGAATTTTGCATGGCTGTTGAATGGCTTATAGTCAGGAAGCTTTCCGAAGTAGCCTCCTGGATATTTGGAAAATTTTCAGCTTTCAATCCTTGCACGGTGCTAAAATTCCGTCGACTAAATATCAAAATCAGAATACCGTCGAGTACCGGTTTGAGCATACATACCTTCGAGTGACTCAAACAACCCATGCATGGAGCCGGCACAGATCTATAGGGATATTAAATCTAGAAATTCCGGCTATCACGTCCAGGACTGCCGTACGAACAAATTCTTTGGAGGTGGTTCGGCAACGGCTCCTAAAGTAGAGATATCTTATACAGCGAAGCCCATTGTAGGCGGAGCACTCGTTAGGAGATCGTCGATTACCAAACTTTGCGGTTTTTTGGCGATGAAAGAGGTTAGCTATGCCGTGAAAGCGCAGCGGCAACATAGTTCTGCCTTCAGAGTTGTTTTTTTTTTTTAATTTAAAGACAAGCCAAGTAATAAGGAGTGGAAGAAGCTGGTAGAATAGGCCAGGGGTATACCTTCGGGAAGCTGCAAATGAAAGGGGAGCAAGATACACTTGAGGAGCCCCAATAAGCGTTTTCCTAGGACAGACAACTAGGACAGACACCTAGCCTCAAGAATGCAACGATCAGCGAATTAAGTTTAATGGGTATATGACCCGAAACGGGCTCCCGGTGCCGGTCTCAACTAATTAATGATTCAGACAATATACCAAAAACTCAATTAACTTATGATTCTCACATTCACTCACCTTAATCTCTTTGTCTTCATGGTGGATTCTAGTGTAAGAATTATATTCCATCGATTTGATAAGACCCCGTTCTTTCAGCGACACGAATACCAAAAGCACATCTTGCTCTTCCCAGCCATAGTCTCTGCAAAAATTACAATACAAATATGCACGAAAATTATAAAAAAAAATTTTATCATTCAAAATAAATTATATTTATGGAAGTACATACTTAGCTAAATCTTCTGGTGTGACCGGATTCGGATAGGCTTGTTCAATTAATTCGAGCACCTTTTCCGGCGTCAATGGCGGAGATTCAATTTGTGATTCCTCCAGTGAAACTGCAAATTCGCACAGTGAATATGAATAAATGCAGAAAAGGGGAGAAAAAAGAGAAATATGCATTCAATTAAGCGAATTTGTTAATGGCATGCAAATGAAGACCAAACAAAAAACAAAAAAAAAACAACAGAGTATGATTGTATTCATGTATGTATGTAGTTGCATGCGTAACCGTTGTTTTATTAATTTAATTAAAGTAGATAAT